ACACCGGTGCTGACAAACAAACTGGCTTTCACCATTAGATGACCTCTTGTTTCAGACATCCATATCTTGTACGGTGGGTAACTAAGTGTGAGTGGTTTAGTGAGGCCAAATGGTTTGGGGATGGGGGCAGTGGGAAAAGATACGACGTTGCTGGATCGAATCCAAATGAAGGGCAGGAACTGTTTACTTGAAATACAATTTCTCTGTGGACTTTGTTTTGACTTGCACAGGTATCGCTAATGATGTTCCTCTGCATGCAAATACGTGATCCTGGCTGGCGTTGAGTATCCCTCTTTTCTTCACTGGCAGAAGCATCAAATGCAAAAAAGACAGACGGTGTTTTACCAGTTCACCATCGCAGTGCTAAGGAATCTCTCGACTATTAATATAACCAAATGTAATCCAAGTTTTGACTTCGTACACTGCTACTTCAGCTTAATAAAGAACAATTTATTTTTTTAACAATGATATTCACCATGTACAAGACCCGGGAGTCACTCGAGGTAGATGGTTACAGAATAAGAAGCTCAGTTTATTAGGATTTGTGGCGAAGCTAACAGTTAATTCTAGATTTGAACAGATTACGATTACGGTGATCGGGAAAACACCTTCTTGGGAGTCGGTTCGACAGAGCAGCGTTTCGCGGAATGAAGCTGCTCGAGTGGAACTTCCATTTCATAAATAGAATAAGAAAACGAAAGGAGTGACAGTGGTTCGCTACAATGTGCTTCGACGAGGAACTAAGGAATGTAGTTCGTCAGAGCTCTTTCCATGGAAATAGCGCTTGAATAGTGAGAGGCTTAAGGCGTTTCGTTTGTGAGAGAGGGTTTGTACAGTGGAAAATAATTTATCACCCACAAGGACTTGGAGACGCTTTTGAATTTTGTTACGAGTTGCTACATCATATTTATATAAATCTGAGCTACTTAACGTGTTTGCGTGAATGGGGTGCAGAACAAGGAGAAAGGGAGATGGTAAAGCGCTAAAAGTTAAAGAGCAACCAAAGATAGGAAGTTGTGAAGAGAGATGACCGTCCATACCTTGAAAGGATTTGGCATGTAAAAAATATGTAGCTTCAATGGATTTTTGCCAATTGGGATTTTCTCTCTCTTTTTTTTTTTTTTAGGTTTCTTCCAAGATTTGTCACAGTGAGTGGTTTGGTAGGTAGTTAGGTAGTAGGGATAAGTATGTATAGGTAGGTAGGTGGGTAGGTAGGTAGGGAGGTACAAAGGTAGGTATTAGGTAGGTAGGTAGGTAGGTAGGGAGGTATTAGGTTAGTAAATAAGTAGGTAGATAGGTAAGTATGTAGGTAGGTATTAATAAGTTAGATAAATAGGTAGGTAGGTTTTAGGTAGGCACTAGGTAGGTAGGTAGGTAGGTAGGTAGGTAGGTAGGTAGTTATATATGTAGGTAGGTAGATAGATGGGTGGGTGGGTAAACTGGTGAGATGGGTGTGGGTGGAGTGCTTGGGTGGGTGGGTGGGTGGGTGGGTGGGTGGGTGGGTGGGTGGGTAAATAAGATGGGTGGATGGATGGGTGGGGTGGGTGGATGGATGGATGGGTGGGTGGTGGATGGATGGGTGGGTGGGCAGGCGGATAAATAAGTGGGTGGGTTAGGTGGGTTTATAGGTGGGTGTGGGGTAGGTGTTGGTAGGATGGGTGGGTGGGTAATTGGGTGGGTGGGTGGGTTACGTAGGTAGGTAGGTAGATTGGTCGGTAGGTAGTTATGTAGTATGTAGGTGATGCCTGCTGGACAACACCGATCAGTTATTTTCGTTCGTATTCTTTGTACGCAGAACTTTTTTTTTTGTTATTCTGAAGCAACAAAAATGAGGTTCTACTGAAAGATGCACGACGAGGTTTTGGAAAAATGGAAACAAAAAGGAAACTTATACTTATCATCATGAACAGACAGTTGAAATTTCTGGGGCACGTAATGAGAAAGGCGGGCTTGGAAAATCTAATACTCACAGGACAGGGAAAGAGGGGCAGAGGAAAACAGCACCTAACATACTTGATGAACTTCAACAAATGGATGGCAGAACAAGGGTTTGGGAGAAATAACAAAAAGCCAAAACTTATTAAGAGCCACAAGGTGCAGGAAGATGTGGAGGGCCATGATTGCCTACGTCCTGAAAGGACACGGCTCATAAAAGAAGAACGTTCGTCTTAAGTATAATAAGATAGACGGAAGAAGTTGGGTATAGAAAAGGAAAGCTTGATTTTCTTTCTGTTTTATTTTCTTTTGTTAGCTATACTCAGAAGTGGTGAACGGAATACACTAGTTTAAGGGCCAATCAAAGACCTACTTGATTGACTTGGACAGCTTCATTTATATAGGAAAGAGTAATCTGTAACATTTACTGGAGCAAACAGTCTGTATACGGATAGCGAGCGAGTTCAATGAATATACGAAAATAGAAACAAGAATAATACAAGCATTTGTTTCCTCATCAGATCAATTTAGCCTATACTGCGAGACAATCCTGAAAGAACTTTTTTAAGCATATCACCCCCAAGCAAGGTGGGAGTGCCACTAACACGCAAGGGGTTACAGAGAGTGGAAGCAAGAGTAAAGAGACGTGATTGAGGAAAGGATAAAGAGGAGGACGGGGAATTAAATCAAGGCATCGGAAGATGTCGACTGGCATTACATTTGAATATTTGAAGATTATAGATGCCAGGGAAGCAAGTAAGAAGAAGGGAGTTGCACAGACGGGAAGTGCGAGACATGAAGCTATTGGAGTAGAAGAGACGGCTACATTTAACAGTTTTGACAGTGAAAGGGTGGGGATGAGATGCCGACCTAGTAACACGCTTAAATTCATGCAGTTTGGGAACCAGCGAAAATAACTCGTCAAAGCAGTTACCGTGAAAGTACTTGTAGAATAAGGGATGCACGTCTATGAGAAAGATGCCAGACCAGGACCAACCACATTGCATATACGTATCTGGATTTTATCGAGGACCTTAAGACAAACAGCGGGATTTCCAGGCCATATATGGCAGTAGTATTCCATGCAAGGGCGAATGGTTGATTTATAGATTTGAACGATGGACTCAGGCGAGAAAAAAACTTTCTAGCGCGACACAGAGAACTAATTTTCCTTGCAATAAATGAAGCTATTGATTCAATTCATTTGTTCTATCTTAAATCAACGGACAGCATGAGACCAAACAGGCGCAGATAGGCGCTCTCGTGGAGTAGAGCATCAGACATTTTAATGGGAAGCAGGGAGGGTTCTCTGTGGTGAGTAAATGAGAGCAGTTTTGTTTTTGAGGCATTAAAGTTAACCAGCCATTTCTTGCCCCAGTCAACCACAGATTGGAGGTCCTTTTTTGAGACCAGCGGCCATGTTAGTTTTATCTGCGATGGCGGATTTGCTATTGAGGCAGGAGTAAAAAGTGGTGTCGTCTGCATAGATGCCTACTTGGGAACTGATGACATCAAAGCTAAATAAACTAACAGGATATATTATCGAAGAGCATGACCTTAATAGCGTAACATATACAGATGATACTGTGTTGATGACAGACACAGAAAGAAAACTGGAAAAAAAAACTCTTACGTTAGGTAGTAAAAAGAAAGCAAGATGAAAGGAGTATCTATGAACAGTAAGACAGCAGTTGTCAGCACGAATAATAGCCTGAGATCTGTCCTACGTACTGAGGGTGTCAGAATCAAGCAGATGGGAAAGTTTCTGGGTAGGGTATAAAGGGCGGCAAATGTGACAAAGAAATCCGAAGTTGCATAGCAATAGCGGAAAATGTCTTCTAAAAAGTAAGTAAAGTATTAAGAGACGAAAACTTTTCGTTAAGGAATAAAGCAAAAATTGCTGAACTGCTGTGTAATATATAATCTCCTATATGGATGTGAATGTTGGACAATCTCCTCACACCTTTCTGAAACGAAGCAAATTATTAAGAGATTTCGTTAGAAACAAAGAAAAGGGCGCTGAACTGCTATGTAATATCTAATCACCCATATGGCAGTGAATGTTGGACAATCTCCCATAGCTTTTAGAAACTCAGCAAAGTATTAAGACATCAGAAAATGTTGTTAGAAACAAAGAAAAGCGGGTTGAACTGCTATCTAATCACCCATATAGCAGTGAATCTCTGCATGTCTTACAGAAACTAAGCAAAGTATTAAAAGATAGAAAAATGTCCTAAGGACCAAAGAAAAGAATGCCGAACTGCTATGTAATATCTATAAATATCAAGTGGTTGCTGGACAATTACCTCGCAGATGAAGAAGAAATTTGAAGTGATGTAGATGCTACTGGCGGATGCTGAGAAGCAAAGGGCTCAACATGAAGCAAAAAAAAAGCTTTTAAGGAAAATATGATCTATAAGGAAACTTATACATGCAACCTGAAAGAGAGAGTTAATATTTTGGGGGCGCAATGTGGAAAGAAGGTCTGGAGAATCTAACACACACAGGACATGTTGAAGGTAAGATAAGCAGGGAAAAACAGCGTTTAAACTACTAAACGAGTTTGCGTGAATGGGTGATAGAACAAGGACAAAGAGGGATGTTGAAAGTTACTTCTCAAAACAAAAGTCAGGAAAATGTGGAGGGCCATGATCTCCAACGTCTTGAGGAGATAATGCTGAGAGTGAGTTCTCGGTTTATCCAATCACGCATGAAAATAAGAGTGAAACAAAGTCGAACATCAAAGGCATTTTTCAAGTATCCTGTCGAATAAAAAAAATGTTTCTAATTTCATATCATCTAAATCCCTCCAAAAACAAAGATCGCGGCTATAATTTTTTTAATCAGTTCACCCAAGCAAGGCGATAATGTCACCAAGATGCAAGAGGTTACTGGAAATGAAAGAGAAAGAAAAGACTTTAGAAGGTATAGGAAATCAAATCCTAAAGAGGAACGAAGGACAAATCTCTAACCCTGTTCAAAAAATCGAGGAGGAGTGTGAACAGGACAATAAGATAAACTCTCTACTCAATTAGTAATATTATATTATTCTAGAAGTGTCTTACATATTGCATATAACAAGATAGATAGATAGATAGATAGATAGATAGATAGATAGATGTAAACAAATTGAATGAGATAGATAGATAGATAGATAGATAGATAGATAGATAGATAGATAGATAGATAGATATGAACGGACTGAGATAGATAGATAGATAGATAGATAGCTAGATAGATAGATAGATAGATGTGAACAAATTGATTGAGATAGATAGATAGATAGATGTGAACAAATTGATTGAGATAGATAGATCGATAGATAGATAGATAGATAGATAGATATGAACGGACTGAGATAGATAGATAGATAGATAGATAGATAGATAGATAGATAGATAGATAGATAGATGTGAACAAATTGATTGAGATAGATAGATAGATAGATAGATAGATAGATAGATAGATAGATAGATGTGAACAAATTGATTGAGATAGATAGTTAGATAGATAGATAGATAGATAGATATGAACGGACTGTGATAGATAGATAGATAGATAGATAGATAGATAGATAGATAGATAGATAGATAGATAGATATGAACAGATAGAAAAATAAAAATGAGAACTTCGATTATTCTAGAAATTTCTTTCAGCTTCAAATGTGCTCGTGCATAGTTGTATGATTCTCCAGATATGTTCTTTTGCCAATTAGCGCATGAGTTTTAAATCGATTTTATGCAAGCAAATTACAGCATGCCATGCCTCCGTGAACTTGTTTGCATGCGTACCGTTGAGTATATGTATGAGAATACTTGCGAAATGTTGGCGAATGATTGTTTTCTATCGTTCATAATGTGGTTGCAAATTAATGCTGACCAGAGAAGATTAACTGTTATTTTATAAGCTAGTCTCTTTAAAATGAAATTTTGTCTGCGAGGAATACTTACATCTGCCTGACACTTGGCACACATTCTGTTGGACGGGAGCAGGCGAAAGAGATGGAGAAATAAAGAGATTAGTGATGCAAAGGGCGAAAAAGTGAAAGTAAATGTCAAAATAGAAAAGAAATAGGAAGACAACATGAAGGGCGAATAAAAACGGTAGAAATAGGGCCAAAGAAAGAAAGAAAGAAAGAAAGAAAGAAAGAAAGAAAGAAAGAAATTTGAAAAATATCGTTAAAAAGAAAGAAAGAAATTACTCAATCAAACAATCTATGCAAATTTGAAAAAGGAAAATGAAAGAACTGGGTAATTTGAAAAAGGTCGTTAAGCGGAACGAAAGAAAGAAAGAAAGAAAGAAAGAAAGAAAGAAAGAAAGAAAGAAAGAAAGAAGCGATACCAATTTGAAAAAGGAAAATGAAAGAACTGGATAATTTGAAAAAAGTTCGTTAAACGGAAAGAAAGAAAGAAAGAAAGAAAGAAAAAAGGAAAAAAAGAAAGCGATGCAATTTTAAAAAGAAAATGAAAGAACTGGATAATTTGAAAAATACTGTTATACGGAAAAAAGAAAGCAAAAAGAAAAAGAAAGAAAGAAAGCGATGCAATTTTAAAAAAGGAAATGAAAGAACTAGATAATTTGAAAAAGATTGTTTATAAGAAAGAAAGAAAGAAAGAAAGAAAGAAAGAAAGAAAGCAATCGCTGCAATTTTAAAAGGAAATGAAAGAACTGGATAATTTGAAAAAGATTGTTATACGGAAAAGAATGAAAGAATGAAAGAAAGAAACAGTTACATTAACTGAGATAAAAAAAAAAAAGAAATCCGCTTAAATAATGAGAGAAAGAAATAAGCGATTAGATGAAAATTAAACGAATAATAAAGAAAAGCATTATCACATAAAATGTAGATAATTTGTAGTTTTCGTTTATATAGCGTGTAACCCGGATATAAGAGAGTTGTCGGGACCGGAAAAGAAGTCTCTTATATCCGGGTTTCTCTTATATCCAGGTTACACTGTACAAGTTTCATGGTGTTTTATGTAAATTTGACTGAAGATGAACAAAAATTTAATTTTTTTTTCTCTGTTTCCTAACACTTTTCTTGTTTCTTGAGATAATTTGGACATAATCTGAGCGTTTTCAGCGTTTATAAACCATTATTAAAAAATGTTGGTTGTATTGAGAGGATTTAACTTTCAGGTATTCATTTTTTTTTTATTATTATTATTATTTTTGGCGATTATGACTTATGAAAATCGAAAGCGTTCAGAATACACAAGAGGATTTATATTTATTTTTTTTTCACGAAAACCAGAAAAAGTAATCGAAACCGTTAAAAAATCATTAATTAAAAATATTTCACATAAAGAACTTTTGTTGGTCATCAGTCAAACTTACATGAACAGAAGATTGCTGCCTAAATATACTAATATTTATACTGATCATTTTATGCCTTAACTTCATTAGTGCATGGCCTTGTACCGTACAAAGCAATACTTAGCAAATACCAGATGTACTCGCGCTTGCGTTAACCACTTAACATCGGCCACGTCGAGCTCATAACCGAAAGTAACCGTAAAAAACTGAAGAAAAATATCAGAGAGAAAGAAAAAGAATCGAGGGAAATAATAATAATAATAATAGTATTGGAGAATAAAGGCAAGAGAGTGAAAAAAAACAAAAACAAGAAGAAGCACAAGAAAGAAAAGAAATGAAAGAAAGAACGACTCCGATAATGTGAAAAAAGAAGGGCGAAATTGAACGAACGAACGAACGAAGAAAGAAAGAAAGAAAGAAAGAAAGAAAGAAAGAAAGAAAGAAAGAAAGAAAGGCATCAATAAATAAAAAGAATAAATTGTCCGGAGACACATTTGTCGAGAATGATCGAAATATGAAGACAGGAAAAAGTTTTGTAGACTTCTCTCTTTTTTTTTTCCGTTTTCGGCCGGTAGGATGAGCAGTGATCCGGTTTCAATGGGTGGGATGTGGGTGTCTGGATGTGTGGTCGGGCCGGACAGTTGAAATTGTTTTCTCGATGCTGTGAGGGATCAGCAGCAGTTGAGAATTAATCTCCAGAGGCCGGTTAGGGAAGAAAAAGAGAGAATATTTCTGGCAAAGCCTAATTCTGCTCACTGAGGCATGATGGGAGAAATTAGTCCTTGCTTTCACCTCACCCCATCGGCCATCTTAACAAACATTCACCAAGCTGCGTTCAGTAATGGTCATCCAAGATCAATAACAGACGCAGTCGCATGGACAAAACTAAAGATATCCGACAAAAGATACAGAGGAAAAAGAGAAAGAAAAAAAAAATCTGTCTCAAGACAAAGACACGATAAATTGAAGAAGAGAAAGAAATGATCACTTCTTCGGCCATAGGTCATTCACATTTAAATGCGCGTTTATTAAAAGCACTATTTCCTTCATTCGAAACTCATTGAATTTTAATAAAAAATATGTATTTTGTTTATTTTTGTTATATACCATAGCTATGAACACTAATGGGTTATGACCCAATCCTCATAAATACGTTGGGTACTATTGTAAGTGGGGGTAATATGATGTAGTCCACATGCATGGAGTATTGCTGCCATATATGGGCTGGAGCACTTTCTGCTTACCTCGGAGTTCTTGACAAGATCCAGAGAAGGATATGTAATCTAATTGGCCCTGATCTAGCATCTTGTTTGCAGTCACTCTCTCACAGACATGCCGTCGCTTCTCTCTGTCTTTTCTACAAATACTTCCATAGTAACTGCTCTGATGAGCTGCTCTCTCTGGTTCCCAGACTCCATGAATTCAAGCGCCCTACGAGGCTGGCATCCCGCTCTCACCCTTACACCGTAGAAACCTTCAAATGTAGCCGTCTCTTCTACTCCAATAGCTTCATACCTCGCACCTCTCGCCAGTGGAACACCCTCCCCAATTACTGTTTCCCTGAAAGCTATAATCTCCAACTATTCAAATGTAATGTCAATCGACATCTCCAATTACCTTGATCTACCCACTATCCTTCTCCTCTTCCTTTCTCTTATCACTCTTATCTGCTCCCGCTCCAAATCTTCCGCAACCCCCTGCATCCTAGTGGCTTCACGCCTTGCTTGGGGCACAATGCTTAAAAAAAAAAAATATAGCAGTGGTTTACCTACTTTACGCCGCTGGCGAGTATTGTATTTTGTTGATGTTATTTTTTTTTTTAACATACAACGTGTGTTAGCACGTGCGATACCCTGTCTTCATCAGCCGCCGACCAGGGGTGATATCACGGTTTCGGTGGCTATGGCGGGACCGCCACCCCTGGCGCCACCAGCTGCGTTTGCCACCAGGCAGGGTATGAAGATAAGCTAATTGATCGTTCCTTTAAGTAAAGTCTATCCGTAATGAAAGTTTCCTGAAAAAGATAATCAAGATTATAATTTCATTTCCAACTTCCGTTTTGGTTATTTCTCATTCAATAACCCTTTCTAGGTTACAACAATTTTATTCTAAAAAAAAGTATTTGTTTTAACTAAAGGCAAATATTTTGAATAACATATCCATGTATTAGGCATTGTACTTACAAGTTTAATCATCCCCGTAAAATGGAACAAATATTATAGTTTAAATAAGTAACAAGCTAAAACAAAACCCACATTTTTTGATTGATACAATTTGTACAGCTTATCAACCTTTTTCAAGTTATTTAAGGTTAGAAAATATTTTTAGACTGTAACAATTTTTGGGAGATAATGATTTATTGATACAACTTCTACTAATTAACCCATAGCTGGTGGGGAGAATAGGGTATTTGCGAGGAAGTGAATATAACGAACTTGACTGGAATTGAAACCAAGTTCTTCGATTTCCAATTCCGAGACAGTGGAGTAATGGATAGCGACTCGGACTGAGGAATCGGAGAGCCGATTTCGAATTCCAGTTCGAAATCCTTTACATTTACTTATGTGCTAATACCCTTCGGAATTATATGAATCGTCTTCTTCTCCCTCAAGCTATGGGTAAATAGCAGGACAAACCGGGTTCTATAGCCTTGGATGGCAACTGGTCTACAGCAGAAAGAAATGGCAACCTACAGCGAGAAAAAAAAATCTGCCTCGTCAGTTATGTATTGAAAGATACGTGATCGCCTAAGCGTGTATCACGTATGGCACGTAACTGACTATCTATAACACTGCCCGAACGTCCAACCTAACAGCAGCTGGTATACCCAAGCGGTTACTCATTTAGAGACGTACTGGTTAGTCTCGACGTTGCTTAACGTCGGTGATCGTACGACAACCGGTGTTTCAACTTGATATGGCCGTAAGCCTTAACAGAAAAGGAAAAAAAAAGGAAAGAATGTTATGTAGGCATTTTCATTTTCCAGTAAATCGTTTTTATACGAGTGCTTTTCATAAATATAAGGTGACTTTATTTGTTTAATATACACTGTCCCATCAAGATGTATGCTATCATGCCTCTTATCTATTTCTTTTTATTATGTGAATTGCTATAATCATTCGACTGTAGCGTAATTACTTAACTTTGATTGGTTCTTTTATGATTCATTAATTGCTACTTGATCTTGTGACTCGTCATTTTAAGGTTATTTGCAGACAACTTTCATCTTTCAGTTATTTCTTTGAAAGTTTTACCTATGTGTTTGCGATGAAGAAAAAGATGGACTCCACCGGTTTCGAGAGGTTTTCATTGACATTAAGTCTAAAACATCAACTCTTTAAAACGTACGTGCGGTCAATTTTACTGTATGGACCCGAGGCGTGGGCCCTAAAAACCAAAACCAAACGGACACCCCAAGGCGGAGAAATATGGTTCTACTCTGTTGAAAGTTCATTGGACGGCGCACGAAACGAACGATTCAGTTCTTTAGCGAGTTCAGCAAAAATGCACTCAGCTTCAAACCAGTGAGCGTCAACAGAGAAAATTCTTTAGCTACATAATTCAAAAACTACAGGGTGCCCAGTAAAAAAAAAAAACAAACAAACGAAAAAACGGCAAAAAAGAAAAAAATTATCATCACTTATTTATCTTTCAGAGATAATTGACCTTGAATAATCTCGAATAATTTTCTTGAATATTCATGACCTTGAATAATCATTCGACTGTAGCGTAATTACTTAACTTTTATTGGTTCATTTATGATTCATTAATTGCTACTTGATCTTTGTAGACAACTTTCATCTTTCGTTCTGCCCTTCTCGTATGACTAAACAACTCAATGATTTCGAGCGTCAAGTTATCGTACTTTTCAAAGAAGAACATCCGACGTGGGGATTGACGAAATGTGCAGAAATTCTTCCTGTTTTTTTTGTTTTTTTTTTCAGTCAATCAGTTCACATCAATCGTCACCAGTAGTTTTCAATGATTGTCTCACGTCTTTCTGAATTCACCCTGTACTTTTGTGCCCACGAAAATAATTCGGTAGCTTTAGAAGTAACCATTTCAAAATTCCTATCTCTGAAGATTAATTTCAAGTCAAAGAATATCGCTCCTGGCGATTCATCTTATGTTTGCCGGATCAGCAACAATTCTGCAACATGTGTCTCAACTCAATAAGCTAATGTCTAAAATGATGTTTGTCTCGATTTAATTATTTTGAAGATACAACCAATTTTGGCGCAAGGCCGAATTTACATACATGTAGGGCGTAACAAACTAAAGTACGTAAGGGTGGAGCTTCAATATCAGATGTTAAAGTGGGAGGGGATAAATAAGTTTCAAATGTTCATGATTCAGTATTTTGCTTCTTATCTGATCCTTTCATAAAATGGATATGTTTTTAGATCGATTATCGTACTGTAAACACATTTTGATTTTAAATGCACTTTTTTTTTTTTTGGCTCATTTGTAATTATTTTTTGGAGTGATATCTAAAGGCATTTTCTTCATATAAAAACTAACATGGAAGTTTTAGAAGTTTTCGTGTGAATAGGGGATGTTAATGGAAACGAAGTAAGAAATTTTCTGATTTATTTTGAAAATGAACGGCAGTAGCGATTTTAGGCAAATGACACAGATCTGATTAGTATCGCTGTCATTGGAGCCAAGAGGAAACACGCAGTTTAGTTCTCAGTTCTAGCAAAAAAACGTTGGATGACCGACCCAGCGTCGACTGCCGATGAAGCACGTAGAAGTCCACCCCACCCAATGCCTGAAGAAATAGTTTACTTTTTCGAAAGCTCTCAGTAAGGATAAAATTAAATTTCTATAATGCAAAAACAATAAACGGTCGGAATTTTTTTTTAAAATGCATATTAACAGAAATAAAATTAAATATTTATGCAATCAATGATGTGAAACTCGTTATATCAAAAATATTATTTAGTTAAACAAATACAAAGTTTTATATCGTAAAATTTATATGCAATGGATATTGCTGCCACATCTGGTCTGGTGCTCCTGTTATATATTTAGATATTCTTCATAAATTTAAAAGATGAATCTACAATGTTATCTGCCTGATAACATTCACTCATTCGTAATGTAGCTTCCCTGTGCCTTTTCTAGAAATATTTTCATGGTAATTGTTTTGATGAGCTTTCCCCTTTCGTACCTAGACTACGAATTGAAGCGCGGTATTAAATTGACAGCTAGATTGATCATTTTATACCTAAAATGTCTAGGTGTAGCCGTAAGTTCTATGCTAACAGTTTCTTCTCTCGGGCTTCTTGGTTGTGGAACTTGATTTCGGCCATTTAAATGCAATGTCAATCGTTATCTTTTGTGTTCATAATTCCTATTCTTTTTTTGTTCTCTCTCCTTAATAATGTTTTTTGCTCTTATTCATTTACATATAGCAATAATGTTTTCTTTTTCTTAATAATGATGATAATAATAATTCTTAATTATTATAAATAATAATTTTAATAAAGTT